GAATCAATGCCACTTTTCTGCATTACCAATGACATCATTGTGTTGAATCAATACCACTTTGCTGCATTACCAATGGCATCATTGTGTTGAATAAATGCCACTTTGCTGCATTACCAATGGCATCATTGTGTTGAATCAATACCACTAAGCTGCATTACCAATGACATCATTGTTGAATCAATACCACTTTGCTGCATTACCAATGGCATCATTGTGTTGAATCAGTGCCACTTTGCTGCATTACGAATGACATCATTGTGTTGAATCAATACCACTTTGCTGCATTACCAATGACATCATTATGTTGAATCAATACCACTAAGCTGCATTACCAATGACATCATTGTGTTGAATGAATACCACTTCGCTGCATTACCAATGACATCATTGTGTTAAATCAATGCCACTTCGCTGCATTACCAATGGCATCATTGTGTTGAATCAATGCCACTTTGCTGCATTACCAATGACATCATTGTGTTGAATCAATGCCACTTCGCTGCATTACCAATGGCATCATTGTGTTGAATCAATACTACTTAGCTGCATTACCAAAGGCATCATTGTGTTGAATCTGTGCTTCTTTGTTGCATTTTTGATTATGTCATTGTGTTTGATTAATGCCATTATGTATAGAAAGTCAAAATTATTAATAATAATAATAACGGTATTGTTTTTCACTCAGGTAACTAATATTCCTTCTTCAAGTTTTATCCAATGAAGTTATGATTAATGGTTGTCAGTGTTACATTTATCACTGTCTCTATCCATGTGTCAGTGTTACATTTATCACTGTCTCTATCTATGTGTCAGTGTTATATTTATTGTTAATTTTAGCTTTGGACATTACTTAATAATAAATATTTTGTATTAACCGTTTGTAATTGTATGTACTCAGGTCACCTTGGTACTTCTTGATCAAGCCACAGGTCGTCGTAATCTCTCAGATACATTCAGACCAGATCCAACCAGTAGTAGCTTCAAGCAACCCACTGGTGATATGAATGTGGCTTCTGGTTGTCCACTATTTGTCTCTCAGTCTGTATTGGAAACTCCAACTTACATCAAGAATGATACATTATACATCAAAGTGGTTGTTGATACATCCGATTTATATGGCCCATAACCTTACTGAGTGTGGGAGGGGGGCATGGAGGGTAGATATTTTGTCGCTATGTTGAATCAATTCATAACGCAGAGTTCTATCTTCTGTGCCCTCCTCCCATTGTTCGTCAATGAATGTATAATTTTGCACAATATATTTTTCACAAAAGCTTACTGTATATCCCAAACCAATAAAACCAATTGATATTGGAGAACATGGTGATAGTTATTTGTGTATGCATATTTGATGCCATGGCATGACAATTCTGTCAATCAAAAGGTTTATTATTTAGCATTGTCCAATCCATGACTGGTGGCGTGCTGAATCAGTTTTTGTCACAGGTTACATTTTACACCTCAATCCAAGGGATTACACATTTTTTTTAAATAGGTTATATTGTTCATAGTTTAGTATTGAATTTATAATATCTTTTATATACAAACATGAAGTGAAAATTCAGCAAATGACGAGTCACTGGTAGTAGTTGTTGCATGGGACTCATGACTGGTAGACCTGAGTTCAAACCCTACCTGCCCAGTTAATGGCAGGATTATGATAGGAAGATTTGCACACATCCTTGTCATATAGTCTCAAAATGCAAAATGCACTATATGTCAGTACTCGCCTGGTACAGAAAATATTTAAAAAAAAAAAATTAAAAATGCCATATTAGTGCTCCCTATTGAACATTCAGTATGAGAAATTTGTGAAGGAAATTAGCAATTCTGCCAAAATAATTTGAATAACTATATGCACGTTTTATCAAACATCCAAATAGACTGTGTCAGAGACTGATTTGAGTGCACTGAATCAATGCTTGCATACTGTTTTGGCATTTTATATTGTTCCTTGAAGACATTTAATGTAATTATTGTATATTTCCCAGGCCAGGTTACTAATGTATGTACAGTAAGCTTTTGTGAATATTTTATTCGATATATACTACTATCTTTTTTTATACCAAAGGTACATTGCATGGGGTTTTGTATAGCCATGAGTATGATACAATATAGCGATCACATGTCAATCTAAATGCAACTTTCATAAAAATTGCTACAAAGCAAATGCATATGCACAATTTTACTGTCACTTGATGATAAGTTTTTTCAACATTTAAACAAATTTAAACACCAATACAACTGTTTTTATAGGATCCTTATATTGTATCATGCTTATTACTAACCTGTGTTTTGTATCTATACCTCTGTCTGTAAAACTTACTTATCACATGTTTGATCCAGCAGTACATTCACTCTGACCATTGTAAATACATCGTTTTCCTATCACTGCGAGATGTAAAAATGTAAGAACCACAGTATCACAGTTAAAACATTGCATGGGTACAACAAAAGTGAAAGTACTTTTTTGGTATTTGATGATGGTCAATTCTGATGAAGTAAGGATGTCTGAAATCCATATTTCCCTCAATGAATATGCATTTCGATATTAAACTATAAAAAAAGAAATTCAGGTTCAAAATCAAATAATTCGATGTGCACCTTTCATGTATTACATGCATCTTGCATTAAATAGAAAATGACTACATTTTATACTACATTTCTGTAAATGTTGACAGTTATTACTAGTCAGGGTTTTTGTGCTGCCTAAATATCATCTCCTGTTAGACAAATTTTACTTTTGACAAATTATTGAATGAAAACAAATTTTACTTTTGACAAATTATTGAATGAAAACAAAACAAGAAGTTCACAATCTACAGATTAATCTTGGCCTGTTGAAGGAAATAATTTGCTGAAAGGTTTTAGTTTTATCATTCCACTTCAAACCTTGTGATATACATTGCTAAGGATTTGCATGTTACATAGTCATGTCAGGAAAATCTTTACTCGATGTACATCTTCTCTTCTGATTTTACTTCTATATTACATGATGTGGTCAGCTGGTGGACATTTGGTCAGGTAATGCCTACTGATTTATAATGTGTTCAACTTTAACCAAAAATATATAAATATGTCAGTAACACATTAAAACATCAAAGAAATTGGGCATTATTCCAATAGTTTGGAATGTTCTATGTATTTGTCTCGAGCATTATTAGAATTATTTGTATTTATCACCTTAGTAACAGTTATTGAATGCTCTCGTATTACTTGAATGTTGTGAGTATTCTACAAGACCATTAGTCGAGTATTGAAATCCATGACAATGTCACATGACAATCCTTTAAGGTTTTTGACTCCCATGTGCGAAGCACAAAATGGGAGTCTTTGCAGTTAGTGTGTCTGTATGTGTGTGTGTGTGTATGTGTGTGTGTGTATGTGTGTGTGTATGTGTGTGTGTGTGTGTCCGACTGTTCCACTGCTATCTCAAGAACCATACATCGGTTTTTGATGAAACTTGGTGCATAGATGCTCTGGGCCAATGCGCAGATTTGATTAGGTTTTGGTAAAAATCCATGCTCGTTAATTACCTAATTTGCATGATAATTAGCTAATTTTTAGCTGTTCTATGACTGTTCCACTGATATCTAAAGAACCACTCATTGGATTTTGATGAAACTTGGTACATAGATGCTCTGAACATATGCGCAGATTTGATTAATTTTTGGTAAAAATCCGTGCATATTAATTACCTAATTTGCATGATAATTAGCTATTTTTTAGTGGTTCCATGACTGTTCCACTGATATCTAAACAACCACTCATTGGATTTTGATGAAACTTGGTACATAGATGCTCTGAACTCATGCTAGGTTTTGATTAGTTTTTGGTAATAATCCGTGGATACTAATTACCTAATTTGCATAATGATTAGTCAATTTTCGGTTTTTCCACTGATATCTCAAGTACTAATCATCACATTTCAATGAAACTTGGTACATAGATGTCATACGACACTGCACAGACCTGATAGTTTTTATGGTAATATCAGTACATATTAATTACCTAATTTGCATAATTAATTAATTTTCAGCATTTGATATAAGTAGTTAGCATTACATTTCAATGAAACTTGGTACTTACATACTCAAGGACTATGCAGAGATTGATTGTTTTCGATAAATATTTGTGC